TCACATGGTATTGGAAATTACAAAATGTGCTCTCTCAAACTGTGCTCATGTGAGTTAACAAGAGAATATCACACCTTTCACAGAATTTTAATGCAATTGAATGGAACAGTACGTGTGGCAGAGTAACCAAATTGATTAAGAGTGTATTTACCAAAAAGTCATAGAAGACATAAGATGTGGTGGTTCTAAATCTTGACACTTTAAATTTTTGTTTTCATTTTTTTCCATAGGAAAACTGATTTATAATCTAGGCTATCTTCTGGTTCTTTACTTTGAATGTTGAAAGCAATAACAGGTTAAAGACAAAAAGAATTTCCAGCTCACTGTCTGATTTGGCACTGCTGCCTACAAATGAAGGTGTAGCATTTTTCCCCTAAAAACATCTTTTTTGCCATTACACTGAGCTTTGGTGCTCTTTCATCAGTCTACTCTCAAATTTTTCAATCATTTGAATCATTTCACTGAGTTTAATTCTTTTAGAAAAATTCAGCTAAGTAGTAGATGTTTCTGAAAATGAGATTAGACAAAACACTCACAGGTTCTTTATAATCCTTCATTCTTTTAACAGTCACCTACCTGAGAAGTGCTGGTGCCTTTGCTCTGGGGGAAGACTTGAAAACTTCCTCTGGAATAGGGAAAAGAAAGTTGTGGAGGGGAGACAGGGAGATGGAAAGCAGGAGGGGCCATGTTCAGGCCAGCACTCCTCCTCAGATGTGAACCTGCCTACTTTTGGCTCACTGCAAAGCTCCGTTCATACGCATTCAAGTAGAAAGTTGATGGAGTACAGCAGCTAAATTCTCTTTCAGATTTGCAATTCAACCATCATCTCTTAGGTCTGCAGGAGGCAAGAGGCACTTCCTCAGGAATTGTTTCTTTTGACTGCCAAAGAATGTGTTTTGGATGATACAGATCATATGCTTCAGATGAAAGAACAAGGAATCCTGCAACGAATGAGCAGCACGGGCAGAAGCTGACCTGAAACACAACTCCCTTTTAACATCAACTTGCCAATCATGCAATTGACTGAAATCCAGAAACAGCTGGCTACCAAAAACATAGTGTAGCTTATTTATTTCTTAAGAAGTACTTTCCATGATTTGGTTTCATCCCACTATGAGATGCATACGTGAGTACTTGAGGCCAACCTGATGAGTTATGTCAAATAGCACCAATTATGGCGTTTCCTTTCCTTGGTGAAATGGAGCTTTCAGATGCAAATACATTTTTCCCTGTGCCCTGTCCTGTGCCACGCTGCCCTACCTGCTGGCACACCAAGCTCAGTCTGCTTGAGCAACCTGCCTTCACCTGAGCCTGCAGAGGACAAGCTGTGGTCTCTCCAACAAACTCAGCCACTGCCTGCATTCCTCCAAATCCTGGAGAAAGAGCCAATTCATTTTACAACAGCATATGTGTGCATTCACTTGCATGTGCAACTTTTAGGTGGATTTGGAACAGACTGTCCTATGTTAGGACTGATTTTGCTTCTGCCGAATCAAGGTCAAAACCTTACCTTACTTTGACAGTGGCAAAATCATTGTACAAAACTCAAATATCAGGAGCTTTTTCTAAGTCATTTATGAAACTTTTCATTGTGCAGTTGCCACAGAAGATTTAGCAGGCATTTAACCATCAGAACATATCTTTGGCTTGGCTTCTGAATCAACAATACTTTGTAAAAAGGAACTGTTATTAATTTATTTGAATATGTAGAGATTTTATTTATACAAACTTCACTGCTCTGAAGTAAGAGGATTTTGTTGTGCTCTGCACATTGAAAAGATAGGAAGCATAAGACATGACTGTATGGTTTTTTATGTTCATAGCAGGAAATTAGACACCCAAGGGTTTTATTTTACCTACAGTCTCAAAAATTGCAGAATATCCTTCTTTTCCTTTCTTTTCTTTTCTTTTCTTTTCTTTTCTTTTCTTTTCTTTTCTTTTCTTTTCTTTTCTTTTCTTTTCTTTTCTTTTCTTTTCTTTTCTTTTCTTTTCTTTTCTTTTCTTTTCTTTTCTTTTCTTTTCTTTTCTTTTCTTTTCTTTTCTTTTCTTTTCTTTTCTTTTCTTTTCTTTTCTTTTCTTTTCTTTTCTGTCTCTTCTCTTCTCTTCTCTTCTCTTCTCTTCTCTTCTCTTCTCTTCTCTTCTCTTCTCTTCTCTTCTCTTCTCTTCTCTTCTCTTCTCTTCTTTTTTCTTTTCTTAACAGATGACAATACAGCTTAGTTTTATCTGGATGGCCACAGGTTCTGGAAAAGTGCACCACATTGTTGCATTCTATATTTAACCATTTATTTTGATTCACATAAAGAAATCTTCTTAAGATGCTTTTGCTAATTGTTTAAATTACAGCAATTATAGCAGCTCAATGAATACTCCAGCTTCAGCTTCTCTAGTCAACACATTACTGATAAAAGAAAAAAAAAAAATATGGAAGAGTTCCTCCACTCTCCTGCCTTTTGAGATAGGAATGGAACACACAGCATTGCTACTCTGGTAGATTCACAGGGTCTTCTGCTTGCTATTGGTTGGCTGCTAGCACAGAAGGACTGATAAGCAGCCAGAGCTGCTGCAGAGAAGGCTGGGACTTTGCATCTATGCTGGACCACAGATTTCTTGGGAAAAGTCTGAGATGCCACTCATGTAGTCCTAGACATGGAAATAAAGATTTGGTATACGAGATGAACCTTGCTGTCTGGCTTTATGTTGCCCTGTAGCAAAGCTGGTATCATCTCCCAGAATCCACAGGTGCTATGGAGTATGGCACAGAGACATTCTGGTGTCTTTGTAGGATCTGCTCCAATTTCAGCAAAAGCACTGAGCCAGTGCTTTTGAGCCCAGTTGGATACAGAAGAATTATTCATGGATTATCTAAATCACAGAAAGACCAGTTCACAAGAGTTCATCATATGGAGACATAATGAATGTTATATAGAAGATGAGCAAAATGGCTTTTAGTCCTCGTGGACAAAAAGATATGTGAAAAAAAAAAAAAAAAAAAAGCAGATTGCAGAGATGGTTGATGCATTCTGGTTAATATTTGAGCCACAAAGGAAGTGCCCAGTAGAGGGCTTCAGTAGGCTACTGAAGGACTCCCAGTCACACACGCCATGGATGCAGCAAGGAGAAATTTGTCAGTGTGCAATGTAAGTAAGGATGCAATGTGTAATGTAAGGTCATTACAAGAACGAATATTTAAATTAGTTCTTCAGATGAACGCACCCGGACGTAATTGAGAGGAACTGCATCATTGCGAATACAACTGGGGAAACAAATCTGTTTGTTTTTTACACAAATATTTTAACAATCTGAACATCCTGATGGACAAAATGCAAAAAGTTTAAGAATCCTTCCTGGTAGAAATGTCTGCAGAAGTACGGTTTGAAAACACAGTAACCCCAATTGATTTAGGGATTAGGACTGCCCAGCAGGCACTGGGATAACTATGCCAGAGACAGGGAGGAGAATGGGAACTGGACGAGCTGTCTGTGCCTTCCATCACTTCTGAGTTAGACACTGGGAACCTCAACATTCCTCCCCTGAAGTGCCTAGAAGAATAAATAAACTTCAAAAAATGTTAGGGAGTGAAATAGTTTGTAGTTTGCTCTTTTCTGTGTTACTCGGGCATAATGACAAGGCTTTTTGACAAGGCAGTATATTTTTATTACATTTCTCAGTATCCTGGGGGAAGTTTAATGCTCCCTGGTCCTATGGAAATGTTTCCCTTTTGTTTTGAAGTCAATTATTTGGGCAGCTAGCAAGAGCTTAATGGAGCACCATCATTATGCTGTAGATGTTCACTGCTGCTTCTGCTGCCTGAGTTTTAGCCCCTTTTTCTGTATTCAAAATAACCATGACTGTTGATACTTGAAGATTTTTCCATGTGGGTGGGTTGGATATGATGTTAAACAGCTGAGAAAACTTCACTGCAAGCTGCAGAGCTGTCTGTGGGAGGCAGCAGAAAGTAGGAGCTTGGCGATAGAAGTGGGGTGGCACAAAGCCCTGGCAGACCCAGGAAGGCAGGACCCAAGCTTCAAAATGCAGATGAACCAAACTGAAGTTGAGAAAGCTTGGTTTTAGCGGACGAATTAATTTGCTCCAAATTCTGCCCAGGTGTAAAATGAGTTATTTCCTCTTGGAGAATCAGAAATAATGTAGTCAACAGGAGTTGGGGGGTGATTGCCCCTCTGTACTCACCACTGGTGAGGCCATACCTTGAGTACTGTGTTCAGTTTTGGGCCTCTCGCTACAAGAAAGGCACAGAGGCCCTGGCGTGAGTCCAGGGGAAGGCAACAGAGCTGTGAGGGGTCTGGAATGCAAATCTGATGGGGAAGAGCTGAGGGAACTGGGGTTGTTCAGTCTGGAGAAGAGGAGGCTCAGGGAAGATCTTATTGCTTCCTATGATGTCCTGAAGGGATGCTGTGGTGAAGTTGGGGTTGGCCTCTTCTAGGTAACAGCAATAGGATGAGAGAGAATGACCTTAAGTTGCACCAAGCAGGGTTCACGGTGGAGGAGTTAAAAAACTTCTCTGAAAGAAAGGTGATGCACTGCACAGGCTGCCCAGGGTGGCGGTGGAATCACCATCCCTGGAGGTGTTCAAGAAACGTGTGGATGTGGCACTGAGGGGCACGGTCAGTGGGCATGGTGGGGATGGGTTGGTGGTTGGGTTAAATAGCCTTATCTGTCTTCTCCAGTCATAGTATTTCTATGAAAACAGAGCTAAAAGAGAGAACTGGACAAAGCTACACCACGGCGCTTCAGAGTGGACTGTGGAAACATTTCTTTACTATTCACTGCAACATAACCACCACCCTTCAGCTAGGGTAGTGGTTAGTGCCCCGTTCCTGCCACTTCAAGAAGGATTTCACAATGCCCTCGGAATACGCTCTAACTTTCAGTTAGCCCTGAGGTTGCAGCGGCGGACTGCACGCCCCTCCACCCGCCGAGGCCACCCCGGGGCTTTCCGCGGCCGCCCCGCGCCGGGCCTCTTCCGCCGAGGGCGGAGCGCAGCCCCGGGGCCCCGCCTGACAGCTCCGGCGCCGCCGCCATGCCGGGCGCAATTGGGCCGGGGGCGGGCGGCGCGCGGAGCCTCTACCGGCGGATCCTGCTGCTGCACCGGGCGCTGCCGCCCGCCCTGCGGGAGCTGGGCGACCGCTACGTCAAGGAGGAGTTCAAGAAGCACAAGGGCGCGGGGCCCGCAGAGGCACGGCGCTTCCTGCGGGAATGGGAGGCAAGTGCCCAGGGAAGCGGCGTTCAATGGCTGCCCGGCCCGGCCCCGCGGGTGGCGGGGGAAGCTGCGGCGGGTCGGGCCGCCTGGGCACGCTGGCAGCCCAGGCAGCGCTCGCTGGCCGTGCCCGGCCCGGTTGTCCCTGCGCTGCCGCAGCCCGTGCTTGTGGCGGGGCACCTCGCTCCCTTGCCCCGCTGGCAGCCCAGGGCAGCGCTGGGGGTCTGTCGTTGCCTTGTAGGCGTGTGACCACAACTGTGCGCGCATCTATATGTAACAATTATATAATTAGCTATCTGTGCGTGTGAAACAGATGTGAAATTACGAGGTGTCATTTGCATGTATGTTACATAAATATGTATGTATATATAGCTACACGTGTAGCTGGTTGTATAATTACGATTAACTAAATATACATGTGTAAATAGCTTCCACATGAACTTGTATTTCATTTTTGAGTGGTGTTGTTGCCTTTACAGAACAGTTCCTAGGGCAGCAGGCGTGATGGAGTTTGAACAGTGCACAAAGCTCTCAGGCACAGGGTTTGGATTTTGGGTGCTTGTGTGTGGAACCAGGACCTGGACTCAATGATACTTATGGATCTTTTCCAACTTGGAGTATTCTGTGATTCTGTGACATTTCACAAGTGCCGGAGGGGAGGGACTCTTTAGGTGGCTGGGTGCCAGTCAGGTGCTGACAGATCCGTAAGCCCAAAAAAGGCCACAGAACAGGGAAATGTGACAGATACTCCATAAAGGAAAAGAGCTTTCAGTTAGAGCATCCAAACAATGATGAAAGACATACCTATATGAACCAGTAGCGTGCCTTTGCAGACCAGAAAGCCAACCATATCCTGGGCTGTTAAAGGAAGCATGGACAGCAGGGCAGGGGAGGTGCTCCTGCCCCTCTGCTCTGAGCTGTGAGACTTCACCTGTAGTACTGCATCCAGATGTGGAGTCCTGAGTACAGGAGAGACATTGACCTATTGGAGAGCACCCAGAGGATGGCCACAGAAATGATCCTAGGGAGAGAACGCCTATCCTATAAGGACAGGCTGAGAGAGCTGGGGCTGTTCATCCTGGAGATCAGAAGGCTCTGGGGAGGCCTGAGCGTGGGTTTTAGTATCTAAAGGGAAGATAAAAAGAAGAGGATAGGCTCTTTAGCAAGGTCTGTTGTGATAGCATAAGGGGAGATGGTTTCAGACTAAAAGAGGGAAGATTTGGATTGGACATAAGAGTAAGTTTTTTCACGGTAAGGATAGTGAGGCACTGGCACAGGTTGCCCAGGGAGGTGGTGGATGCCCTGTCCTTGGAGACAGTCAAGATCAGACTGGACGGGGCTCTGATCTAGCTATAGGTTTCCCTGTTCATTGCAGGGGAGTTGGACTAGGTGACATTTAAGGGTCCCTTCCAACTCAAAAGATTCTAGGATTTTATAGACAATTAAGCCTCTAGTTAATTTTCATACTCACTGAAATGTTTTTTTTTTTGACTTTTGCTTTTTATTCTTAAAGTTATTTTCCTTGCCAGGGAGGAAAATTGAATTGTTTTCTCTGCTCTGTGTTGGGAGTTGATTAGAACAGGTGGTGTGCAGAGCTGCAGACTGATGGATGGAAGGGTGCTGGGGGAGACCTGGACCAACCATCTGTCTGTTAGGTATGCAGTAGCTAAAATGCAGGGAGTAATACAGATCCATTAACCCAACACTGGGGTGTAAGAAGGGAGGGAGAGTGCTGCCTGGTATCCTCCTTAGAGGAAAGCAAGAAGTATATTTTATTTGGTGCTTACCAACTGATTGATGCTGAAATTGGAAATTTGGTATCTTCTTTGCAAGTGGCTGATGCTATTGTAATTCTCAGTTGCAATTTATTTGGTAGTGCTCAAATGTTTCTGCTTTGCTGTTTCCAGTGTTAGCATGAGCTAAAAAGACAAGTTGCAGGTTACTATTTTCAGTGGTAAAATCTTCCTTACAATATTTTTTAAAAGGAAAATGGTGTTTACACTGAGATATTTTTAGCCATTTCTGTGAAGTGAACAAATAGTGAACACATTTCTCAGTTTAAAAATGTTTTAGAAGTAGATTACAGAGAAAACTAGGAAAAATTAAATTATGAGGAAAGGAATGTGAATTTTGAAACCTGGCATGCATTGCTATTAGTTATGATATGTTCAAAGAAATTAAACTAATTTAATAACTGTTTTGAGTGCGTGAGCACTAAGAACTTTGCAAATACACCTTTCTTCTAACAAGATGCTGGGATGTATTAGCAAGTGGTTAATGTGGCTCTTCTCATCTTTCCTTTAATCTTTTGTTTCTTTCCGGGATTTTTCTCCCCCAGATTATTATCTGTTTCAAGGGTGGAATTTCTAAATCAGACCTTTGCATTTCTGGCCTTTGGGACTGTGCCTCTCACAGCGTGCTGTGGTTTGCGGCCCCTGAAGGCCTGAACCAGGTAGCTGAGGTATTCTGTGGAAGACTTGGATTAGCCAAGAGCAAGATTAGCAAGATGCTAATGGTGCTGGTGGGCTGATGGTTAGGCTAGATGATCTCAGTGGTCTTTTCCAACCTTAATGATTCTATAATTCTTGTTAAAACTTCTACGGTGCTTTATGGATAGGGTCAGACCTTGTGTGTGGGAAAGTGCCTGAATATGCTGTTTTACAAAACAGAAATGGAGCTGAGCTCCTAGTAAGATATGGGATGTGTTGAAGGTCATTGGTTTGAACACATAGTTTGTAAGGTTGTTGTCCTCTTATTTGATCTGTATTTACAGATTTACTATTTAGCAAACTGCCTACATTTTAATCAGTCATTAGGGTTGCTTCCAATGTTTTTTCACCATGCTATTTTAAATCATGATGCTGTTTCAAGAGAACTGAACACATGGTTTGTTTACCTGGGAAAATAAACTGTGCAAATCCCCTTTATTTCTCTTGAAACATGGTGTGAAAACTGTAATCTTTTAAATGCATTAAGAACAACCATTAGAGGAATTTTATTTTTACAGGGTGTTCAAGCCACTGTAGCTTTTAAAATTGCTACAATTCTTTAATATTAGGTTCTGTTACACTGCAGTAAGGAAGAACCCAAATCTCATCGAAGAAATAGAATGGAGCTTCTAATTCTCAATGGGTGCAGTCATTTTGAACATACTTACAGTACACAGAAGCACAAGTAGAACATTGAAGAGAGATTTCTTAGATTAAGTTTAAACAGAAATTGAAAAAAGTGTTGAAAAGACCCCCAGATAGTATTGTCTCAGTATGGGGATGATTCTGGAAGAATCTGCCCTAATTACTGCCCTAATAGTGCTGCAGTATCAGTTTGCAATAACAGAGATGGGAAAAGAACTCTTTGGTTTATAGAGAAAGGGGGAAATTTATTGTTCCATCACAATTTGTGCTGGTGGAAAATGCCATTTTATGGCAAATCCAGACTGACTTGAGTTTATAAAATAGATAAAGTGCGCTTTGAATATTCTTGGAAGAGTTCTTTAGTGAATCAGAACTGGTAGAAATACTCTGCAGCTATGTGCAAATTTGTATAAAAGTAGAACAACATAAAAATTGTGTTTTTCCTGTCATTTCTGTTGGATTAATGCTTTGCTTCTTGAGACCCATTGGGAAATATTAAAGGGAGTTGCAAAGAAAGCAAGCGTTGTTGTTCAGGAATTATGGCTGTTCAGGTAGATTCAAATTAAGTATATCAATTATTAATGTATGCTCCTTCCTATTTTCTAAATATTTAATATTTTAATTAAAATAATTGGTACTCACTTACAGGAGGTGGCTGATATAATTAGATTGATAGTGATTATTACCTTGGAATGGTATTGAATTAATGCTGACAGATATGGTAAGTGAATTAGTTCAACAGTCTTCTAAATCATATGGTAGCTGATGAGAACGCTTACATAAGAATAGGTAATATTAAGGTAATATTGATTACTTCATTCCAGGTTACAAATGACATAATGTAGAATATTCAGCTAGGTAATTTAAGTATTTGTTTTACATCGTTTACATAATTCTTCTTTTAATTTTGAAATAGGTAATTTCATACTTACCTTGTTTAAAAAGTCTGACCTTGGTAGATTGGAAGATCTGGACTGTCTTGAGATGAGCAGAATCATTCTGCAGAATTACATGACATTTTCTCACATCAGAGAGATAGAATAAATTGTCTTTGAAATGCTTTGGCCTTTTTTCACTCAGAAAGTCTTTTTATAAGCTTTCAAATTAACTGAGACTGATTGGGGAGCTGGCATCTGCTGTTGTACACTGAGAAGAAAGGTGACTATTTTTCATTCCTGTTAATATGGCTGGGCATTATATTGGCAAAATTAAGATGAAACTGTATCTCTCTATCTGGGGAACCGGTCCCTTAGCCTCTCAAGAATGGCTAATTTTTCTAGTTAACGTGATATCAGAAATGATAAAAGTAATTATCATTCATCAAATTTGTTTTCAGTTTTGCCTGGCACTTGCAGTGTTTGATTTGCTGGAATGATTTATGGCATGGACCCATAATATCTCTCAGGGCACAGCTGTCACGATGCATCTCCTTCTGCTGGTGACTGGGTCTAACAAATGTTTTCCTTCTTATTTCTTTTGGCTAGTATGATCTTCCTTCCCCCTTTTTGATTTATTTTTAAGCTTCTTGCAATCAAAAGCACACTGAGAAATTGAAATGAGAATTTGAAGAGCAAATGACCAAACAAATTGACTGGGCAGATGAGGAAGCTGTTGCCAGTACTGGAATCAGACTGGAACAGGAGTGGAATGTGGGTTGCCTTTTCAGCAAGTGTATGGGCTGTGTAAGTCTGCAACTGCTGCTAACTTTCTGTATTATGCTGTAAGTTTCTGTAAAGTACATTATATGAGTGATCTTCTCTTTGCCTGACAAAGAAGTACGTATTTTTGGAAGTGAAATATGACTTTAAGGTTTTTGCCATTTTATGACTTTTATGAAAATTGTGAAATAGGATTTAAGAGTAATATTTCATT